CTGATTTTCGAGGCGATCCGATTCCTTTTTCACTATTTCCGAGTCGAACCGGGCGAGTCCGGTTCGACTCGGCGTTTTTTAAAACGCTGGGTGTAAGCAATTGCAAATTGCATGATTGTTGAGCTCCTTTCCAATGTGCAGTTGTGCACATCATCCATTGCACCTCTCTCTCTCTCTCTCTCTCTCTCTCTGCTTCTTCCCCGTTGGTTTTTTGCTTATGCATTAGAATACCAATCATCTTATACTTTGATGTTTGTTCTTTCAAGCAACTCCCACTTCAACTTACAGAAGAACCAAGCAAGAGAGAGTGGAGAGAGTAAAATAGCGAAAAATATTAAATATACATATATTTTGGTAGATGAGTTTGAACTTGTGATTCAAAACCCACTGTAATTGGTGGGAACCTAACCCGTTTCTCAGTAAGAACTGAAAATCGGGCTGGTTCCCACATAATCGTTCCTTCAAGAAATGACGTATGATATAGAATAAATGAACAGGAAAAGAGCTTAGACTTAATTGATTAACCCTTGACGATTTGCAACACTACATCCTATGCTCAATTTTTACAGAGTGTAGGGCCCTCTTCCTTGACTCACCCAAAAAAAAGAAAAAAAAATTAATACTCAAATGGAATAATGAGTGTGCCATACATGTTTTATGACTGTAATGGTGTGACGGTATACCTTTTGGTCGTAAAGCTTAAATTTTTTTGTTAATATTTAATTGTATTTTTAAATTTGGGAAGTTTATCAAACTACACTTTTTTCCTTTTTTCTTACTATTCCAAGTTGAATGATGTGTATTTTGGTAGGAATTTTGAAATCAAAACAAAACATATAGGTAAAATATTAAATAGTTAATATCTTTAGTGCATTTTAATAAGTTTCCCATTTCACTTTCACCCAATAGTTTCAATATTTATCACACAATTAAAAAAAAACAGATAAAGACATGGTTTTTATGAGTCCATGTAGAAATGAGTCACATTTTAAAAATCTATTTTTGGATATGGAATTTGGATTTAATTTTTAAGGACATGTAATCTCATGGAGAACATGAATATGAAAAAATAAATAAAATTTGAAAATTATAAATAATAACTTTATTTAAAAAACATTTGGACCGTTAGTTTCAATTGTTTTTAGATGGACCACCTATTTGCATCTATTTTTAAGATGGATGTTTTATACCTTGGGACTGAATGCAGCCGAGGCCGCATGAAAGAAACTTCCAATAGATAAATGTGATTACATTTCTCTAAGTTTTAGAAATTTGCGAAGCTCTTTTAAATGGTAATATTACTTCACAACATTAGGCCACCCAATTTTTGCAACAAAGATGAAATTTGTACTTTCGTTATATTGCTGTATATAAATTTGAGATGTGATAGAAAGATAACAAAGATGGTTATCTTTTTCTTGAGCAATAATCTTTATCTCCCAAATCTAGGTACCTTGTACTAAATTGGTATATTCTATTTCTATCTATTGGAAATTATGTTGGTACGAGAATAGGATTCTATTTTTGTTAAACGACAAAAGTCATACCTTTATAAGATCATTCACTTTTGGTTTAAGACACATTCACTTTTAGCTATTGAATGTAAAACCCAACAAACGCTATTGAATATAAAACCCAACAAATTGAATTGTGTGGCATTTGATAAATTTTTTTCTAGACTTTATGCCTAGCCTTCTTATAACAAAAAGGTCTTATTGCATGCATTTCTAACTTAATATATGTAGATTTTATGTAAATTAGACGCCTTTATATGTCCGTATATTATTTTTACCTGAAATAGTTCATGCTCCTAATGGAGCATAATGTCTATTTACTCCTTTAGGCAAAACTCAATCCATGATTATTTTTAAGACCCTAACTTTTGGAGCCATAACCTCTTCAACTCATATGATACACATTAATATATATATATATCTATATATATATATATATATATATATATATATATATTCAAATTGCATTCTCTATGGGATTGAAAAGAATAATGCCTCAAGATTGAACCGAAACCTTTCGATTTTTTAAGGGTGAGATCTAAGTGTTGAAAAACTCAAAGTTGAAATTTCATCTTTTGAATACAATCATCTATGATTTTTAAGTGCTTAAGATAAAAAAAGCCTTCCCAATTTAGTCTTCCACCCTAGTGAGTAAGTGTACAATATATACTCCTGGGGGAGCTGGTACATGGACTCTTATTTTTTATAGTCTTTTACATCTGTATGCATAGTGGGATCTCGGAAGGAAAGCCAGTGTTTCTTGCAGGCCCCACTTCTCCCTCTTTCTCTAAAACAACAATAAGTGTCTTGACTATGAAAATGGATATCCCTGAAATATATTTTTTAAGAATAATTTTTTGATGTTAGGACTTGGGACCTCATTTGCAATGTTAGCTGGCATCCTTTTAGGAAAAAGTACAGCATATATTGAATACTGCAAAAGCACCTTGCTTTGGGTATTGTCACAATTAAATAAAATAGATAAAAGTGATTATAAGGTATCTTTTAACTATAAGTTTTTGTACAAATTATATTTATTGAAATGGTGCTTCCACATTTCTCAATTATGCACACCTAAAAAAGGAAAAAGAAACACAAAATAAAAGATCAAAATACTTTTGAATTGTTCAAGGATATATTTTGGTCAATTATTTGTTTAATTAATTTTTATATTTGTTTATTGAAATGGGGCTTCCACGTTTCTCAATTATGCACACCTAAAAAAATAAAAAAGAAGTACAAAATAAACTATCAAAATAGCTTTTAAATGTTCAAAGATATCTTTTGTTCAATTATTTGTTTAATTAATTTTTATATTTGTTTAGGTGTGTAATAACGTATCACCTTCAAATTTTCTTAACAAACCAATCCGTTTAATAAAATTAAAAAATTAAAAGATCGCATTGTGTCATCCAATGATTTAGAAAATGCCTGGTCAGCACGGAATCGAACAAGAACCGGTCACCCTGTGCCCATTCTGTTACTATATAATAAATTATTATAAGAGACCTTGATATTGCTACAGTAAAATGGCATTTTTCTACAATAAAAACGTCATTTTGCTACTGCGAAAACAGCTATTCACCAATCTGGACTGGTTTTTGGTCAGTTCACTATTTTTGCACGTGTTTTTTCACCGGTTCGCTATTGTTTCTCGACAGTAAAACAACGATCTAGACCACCGATTCACCAATCTATATTGATTTTTGCGATGCCCAATCCTGATCAACAATCCATTTTTTAAATCACTGACATCATCTGATTTTCTCCCTTCTAATGTGATAGGTGTTTATATGCCATGCGAGTGTCCACGGCTCTATACCAACCCATTTATTAGACGGGCTACAGTGAATCATTGAAAGTGTGAGAGTTCTTCAAATGGGATATTTTGTTTCTTTTTATTTGAATATCTCAATGATGTCAAAAGATTTTATGCTTCTGCGGATTATACTGTCTATTTATTCTTTCAGCTAAACTTCAATACTTAACTAATTTTAAGATCTTAAAATTTGGGGATGTAGCCTCTTCAATCCATAAGCTAACCTAAAAAATAAATTTTCAAATTGCTCTCAACGCATTTGAAAAAAAATAATGGCTCAAGATTGAAAAGAGACCGTCCAATTTTCAAAGTGAGCCTTGCGCAAGGGAGTAGGTGTACATTATATCCTCCCATGGGAGCAAACTATACACACTCATCAATGATATTAGTAATTTTCAGGGACAAATTAAAGTAAAATTTTAACCACAAAAAAAATGTGGGATAAAATATCTACAAGCACATATACTATGCTCTCTCAAAAGCATAATTTACTTCTAGTCCCTCGATCAGAAGACTTACTTGGGAGACTTTTGTTTTCAATATGAAATTTTAGGAACCACTTAAAAATTACTAGATAATTATAAAAATTACTAGATGATTATTTAATAACAAACAAAAAAAAATTGAAATTTGAGTTTTCTAACACTTAGATCTCGATGTATAAGAATTAAATGGACTCTATTCAACGTCAAGATATTGCTTTTTTTAGTGCATAGATGTTACAATTAGAAAAATAAAAAAATATAGTAAAATTAATCTATGGGTTGAAGAGGTCATATCTCTAAAATTTGAGGTCTTAAGAATAATTAAGTGGGGTTTTACCAAAAAAAGTAATATGAGTGCAGATTATCTTTTGGCAGTATGCATTGGATCTTCATCGAGCAAATACAATATAAAACAAACGGAGCACGAATAACATGGAATACTATAAACATATACAATAACATCGTTTACTTCTGATATAAAAAGTCACAATAATTATTAACCGTTGAATGTGAAATCGAGTAGATGGAGTTGAGTCTAGGCAGAATGTCCAAAGGAATTTTTATTGAACTATGTGACCCACTACAAGCCATAAGATTTCATATCAGATGGTATAGGAGACCACCATGTGTTAAAAGTGGATGGTATTTTAACTCTTGTCAAAAAAATAAAAAATAAAAAATAAAAGTGGATGGTATTTTAACTCTCGTCAAAAAAAGAAAAAATAAAAGTGGATGGTATTTTAGTATATACTCTTCCATGAAAATACTATGTGATTAAATGGAATAACAACTTTTATAAAAGGTGAGGACCTCCATGCTTTAGGGGATGGAATATTGGGCGGTAAATAAACCATATATCTATAGGATGAGTGTAGTTGAGATGAAGATGTTGAGTGGAAATACAACAATTGATAGAATTCGAAATATATACATATGAGAGAACCTAGGTATGGCTTCAAAAGTCGATAAGATAAGAGAAAATAGACTTAAGTAGACTGGTCGTGTGCATATCTAATACAACATTGGTTAGTTCAAGTGGAATGTTTTAAAATGACAGACAAAGAGAAAGCCCAAAAAGATATTGATAAAGGTAGTGAGAAAATATATAGTGACTTCTAGTCTTATTGAGAGTGTGGCATCTTACAGAGAATAATGGAGGAACTTAATTCATGTAGCCGACCTTAAATGACTGGGATAAGACTTAGATGTTGATAGATGATGATAAATTGTGAGATTTGCATAAGGTTGATCAACCTTTATTAATCAAAGTAACATGCACCTCCAAACTTGGCCATAAGATGTAAGGTGTTAAAAAAAATTATAATGGTGTGAGAATAATTTTTCATCTCTAATTATAATAGTTCCAATTAAACATATTTTTATAAATGCATGAAAATCTTGAAAATTGACAGTTCATATGAAGTATTGTAAGATATATGAGACTTAAAATATTCTTTTTATATATCTCGTATAGTCAATATGATCAATTAGATAGTTTTCCACTATCAAAATAGCATATTTCAACAAAATCTCGAGGTGCACCTTACTTCTACAATTTAAGGTGTTTAACTTTATGCAAACTTTTCCTTTTTATATAAAGGGTGCAGATGGCATATAGATGTATCCGTAGCTGTAGAGGTAAGGTACACCTTCAAAATTTATCATGGTATATAATTTTGATGTAAAATATTATTATGATTATTTCAAGAGAAATGATTTTAAAGGATTTTTCACCACTCATGTGTGTATGACCCCAAAGTATTACTATTAAATTTGGTACGGATCTTTAGAAAAGTCAAATCTCACACTCATGTGATAATATTTTTAGATATCCGTATCAACTTTAATAGTGATCATTCAGAGTCATACACACATAGGTGGGGGAGGGTCCTATAGGATAATTACTCTTATTTCAAAATTTATTTTTATATCTAATTATAAATTTTAAAAATAGTTAAAATAAAGTAGATCCATAAACATATAAAAAAATAAAAAATGAACGGCATAAATGACATGTTGTAAAATACACTATTTATGAGACTTAAAATCCTTTTATTTTTCATGGACCTGCATCAATGTCGAGATGATCTAAAAAACATTAAAACTACCTCTTTCATCTTTTTCTTTTTATTTTATTTTATTTTTTTAGATTTTTGAGGTGCATATGTAGTTTTAATTATGAAGTTGCGTCATTATATAAATTTTTTCCTTATATTAAAGGACGAATCATACATTTTAAAAAAGTTAGGGGTACGGACCACCCTATAAGTACCCTCTCGCTCTGTTCAGCTGGAAGCCCGAAGAAGGGACTTGAAGTCAGCCCACACTGCTGTTTAGAGAGAGAGAGAGAGAGGAGGCGGCCGTCTGCTTAATGGGGTGACCTTGCCCACGGTAATCTAAGTTATTATTTTTCTCTAAATTTATTGTTCCTGTTATGTTGAGTGATTTAGGGCTTTTATACTCCGTTGTCTCTAAATTTATTGTTTCTGTTATTTTGAGTGATTTTAGGGTTTTTATACTCCGTTGTTGAAGCACGATGGTTGTATTGTGAATGTAGTGACGCTCAGTTTATTCGTTTTATTGCCTGGTTATGGAATTTTTTTTTCATGGTCCAATGTGGATTTACTGTGTAGGTATCATCCTTTGGCCAATCTGGGCATTAGGTTTTCAAACTTCTAAGTGGGATTAAGCGTTATTTAGGCATTTTCTATTGGCTCTTTGGCTTTGTTTTTATTTTGGATGTGGGATTATTACTCTAGGTTTTTGCGTTTTGGGGGAAATTTGATTTTGCGAAGAGCTTAATGGAAATTTTGTGGGAATATATGTTGGATTTGATTAGCTTCAGACAACCATGGTTTCTCTCTGGGTGTTGTTTTGTTGAATTTCGTTCATGGTTCCGATATTTTTCTAATTGCTGGGATTTGAGGGCTTTTTTTCTTTTTCTGGCATTTGTTATAAAAAATGTGTTTGGTATGTTCATTGCATTTTTTTAAACAGGAGGCTTCTATTTAGGGTTTCAGCAATGTGTGGCCATAAGGATTTGGTTTTCGAGCCAAGAATTTTACTGCTCTTTTCGGAGCATAAATTTGTTATGAAAAAATAGAGGTCTGGTTATACCAAGAAATCGTTTTTTTTTTTTTTTTGCAAGTGGGGCTTTTCTATAGCTTCGGCATCAAATTCAGTTTATGTTATCTTCTGATAGCTGAGATATTTTTTTATTTGAAAATTTATGAAGAATTATGTCCTTTTTTACGTTATGTTTTCATGGTGATTGGGTTTGTTCCCTTTTTGTTTTAAGCTATTGATTGTGAATGATGTACGGCCAATTTTTTTACAGAAGCCTGTATGCTGGTTAGGGATGAAGCCTGTGTGCATTTTTTTCACTCGGAAGTGCTGTTTTGTGATGTGATTCTGGTTGAACGGCTTTGTTGGTTCCTTTGTAACTCTTAGGTTTATTTACTTTTAGAGAACCTTGCAACTATTACAATCATTCATGCAAAACCTTCCACTTTTTTACCATGAAACATTAACACAACCGATTCGCCATGTTTCATAAAGTTGTTCTTATCTTTTTATTCGTTTCCTATGTAGAATTGGTGCTGCTGACGAAGCTTCCTATTGCTGCTGACCTTTTTTCAGAACAGTCAAAATGGTATGTCTCCATTTCTCTTGTCTAATAGATTGATCTAATACTTAGTTTATATCGACCCTTCTCATTTTGTTCACTAAGGAAAAAGTTATTATCATTGAGTATGGAAACTGAATGGAGTAACTATTATATTTCTCTGTCTCCATCTTAATATAATATCAGTAATTCAGAAATGTAATTAGTTATCGCTTTCACTTCATTAATATGGATTGACATATTTTGTTAATTATTGTGTGTTTGGCAGCTTCCTCTATCACTGCTCAAGACAGCTCAGGGACATCCTATGGTAAGAGCCTCCATCTTGTTGCTTTGTTTATGTTAGCTCTTTACCCTAGGTTGTGTGTGTTTATGCTGGCATGGATGGTTTATTATGACTGGTATGTTCTTGAATTGTGTTATTACTTCAAGGTAGATATTTTCAAGCTTGCATATGAGCTGGAAGAAGTGACTTCTCTGAGAAGTTAAACCATCCTTTTAGGCCTTTTGCTCATGTGTAGTTCATTTTCCTATATCATGGAATCACCCTGCATCCTCAATTTCATATTTGTTGAATTGACCAAAAATATGTTTTCGAATAATGAATTGACCAAATATTATTTGCATCACGGAGCTGAACTGTCGAAGCTATATTGTGCTTTTTAGCAATAGCTTTCCCTACTCTAATTATTTGCTTCTTGGGACAGTTGGTAGAGCTAAAAAATGGGGAGACATACAATGGGCATTTAGTAAACTGTGACACGTGGATGAATATTCATTTGCGTGAGGTTATTTGTACTTCTAAGGTAAGTTTTTTATTTTGTTTTATGATTCTTTTGTTGTTTTAGTACTAGTCATAAGTCCTTTTAAATAATGAGAAAGAAGAGTAATTTCCCTTTGTAGGATGGCGACAGGTTTTGGCGAATGCCAGAATGTTACATTAGAGGCAACACAATAAAGTATCTTCGTGTTCCAGATGAGGTATGTCTTGGTTTTCTATATCTATAGTTTTGAGTCACTTGAGGAAATTTGTCTAAATTTATTTTGTTTTTTTTTTACCTGACATCTGATGTCAATAGTTTTATTTGTTTCAACTTCACCCTGATATTTTCTATGGTGCAACTTGTTTATGTGACCTAATTTATGGTGAGGGCATGCTCAAGGCCCTCCCTTTTACACGTGGCAGTAGTAAATAAGAATGAGAGAATTTGAAAGATGCCAAAAAAAAAAAAAGATTCTCAAAAAAAGAAAAAAGAAAAAACACTTTGGAACTCATAAGAAATTATGCTTTATTAGGTCCCTTGGTTCTGTTGGCAAGGAGGTTGCTCGTAATCTAAAGTGTCCCCCATTCCCTGAAATGTTCTTTGGCGATTTGAACTGAGAGTATAGTTTCTAAATGGAGTAAAATCTAAAAATGATTTGGGAAATGGGTAATAAAAATACGATACAATGGGTAATCAAAATACGACACAAGTAATTACGATCCTTGGGGGAGAAAATATTGAAAAATGAGTGGGAAACACTTTTAAGAGGCAGCTAGGAGAGAAATGGGAAATGTTGTGCCAGCAGTGCTTCAAAAATCAATTGAAGCTAATGGGAACATGTGGAGCGCTTGGCACAAATGTACGAAAAACTCTGAGAAGCGAAAAGCCACAAGGATATGTAGGAGCCATTGAAAAAGTCTGAAATATTATGGGAAACATGGATCAAATGGAGGAGAACACGTCTTGTGCAATATTGAAGTACATTATGTGCTATTTACCTTGCATGTTTTCTGAAGATTAAGTTTTCCACCATTGATTAGTTATCTTTGCAACATTGATTGATTGATCTTGTCTTTTTGTTTTGAATAAATACAAAGTATGCATTGCATGGGCAAATTCTTTTGTCGATGCATAGTGATTCCTTTATTGTAACAATGACAATTTTCTGCCAAATACTTGTATCCATGTATCAATTATGCAGCAAACTCTTAACTTATGGTCGCCTTTTCCTCATTAAACTTCTCTAAAGTAACAGCTAACTGTATTTCAAAGTATGCAAAGTCAACTTTAGGAGCTAAAAATGCAAGTGGCTACAAAAATTAGGCTATAATTGTGTAAAACCTCTCAACATGTATCTACATCACATGGTTTTTTCTGTTTGGATGTTGTGCCCATATTGGACACATGTCAGCCCCCATATTGACACAGGTTCTTATGGATGCTTTTTTTTATTCGTTAAGCAATCTACATCATTGCTGTAGACTTCATCTTTACTTTTGCTTTGAGTAGGCACATCTGAACTTTGGAAATCTGTATGGATTCAATAACTGAGAAAATATTTGCCAAAGGCCTTATAAGATTTGATATTGAATTTTTAGTTTTCCTTTTTGGAGTCCTTAAAATGGGATCTGATATTGAATTTTTACCTTCTCTTTTTGGAGTCCTTCAAAATGGGATTTATTTATTTATACTGTACGTCTGACCTGAACTTTCTAGCCTATCTTATTTCTTGAGTAGGATTTTGATCTGAGAATCTTGGGTCTAGTTGCTACCATTTATATTTTTTTAAGAACTCTACTATTGATATATACTTTGAAATATGCTGCTGACTACATTTACAAATTCAGTCGGACAATGTTATAGAATGTTGGATTCTTTTTGCTAATGAACTCTTTGAAACATGACCAATGTCATTTGCAGATTTAGTTGAGTGATGCTTGTTAGGGCAATTGAGGAGCTCTATTTTTTACTTTCTTGGGGATTGAACTAAAACTTAATTTATTATTTTAAGATGAATTATTACTAGTTCTTAGTTTAGTTTTTCAGTATATTATACATAATCGGTTTATATAAGTTTGCAATGTTACTTGTAGAATTAAAGTTACAATAATAGATTTGACACTTCTTTTAAGAGAAGTAAAAACGTTGTATGTCTTTTAAGATGGTGTGAAGTCTTTACCGTCCAAATAAAATAGACAGTTTACATGAGATATATGTGTGTGTGTGTGTGTGTACATATATATATATGGAAAAGGATGGGATTAGCCCACTCGCCTATCCCATTGAAATGCGCCCAACGGCTCTGACTGAGAGCGCTAGATTGGATGGCCAAGATGGAAAAGGATGGTGCTCACATGCTTTTCCCAATAAAAATGGGTAGCCTAACATCGGTACAATGTCAGCGCTAACAACTTGACCACATTTGAAAAACTCTCTCCTCTCCTCGATTTAACAAGTCCCATCTTTCTCTCTCTTTCCTCGATTTTAACTCCCCTCTCTCTCTTCGGTTTGGTTCCCATTTTTCTCTCTTCTCTCCTCAGTTTGGTTTCCTCTCTCTCTATGTTTTGGTTCCCATCTTTCTCTCTCCTCTCTTCATTTTAACAACTCCCATCTCTCTCTCTCTCCTCGGTTTGGTTCCCCTCTTCTCATCCCCATCCACTCCATGGTTAACAACTCCCATCTCTCTCTCTCTCTCTCTCTCTCTCTCTCTCTCTCTCTCTCTCTCTCTCTCTCTCTCTCTCTCGTCTCGTCGTACCTCGTACTCGTCTACTCTCTCTACTCTACTCTACTCGTCTTCTACTCTACTACTACTCT